CAACATACGTGACTGTCTTCCCGTCAATACGAATAAATTCTAAGTATTTCGAATGAATAATTATACGATATTCAAATACTACATCATGGATATTTGGTGTGCTGTAAAAGTTTAAAACAAAATGATTATTAAGACACAAAGAATTTAAGTCAGCTTATGTTTTCTAAGAGATTGTAACTGGTCATATGGCATAAACTACAGTCAGATTGTTGATATACTGAATCATAACGAAAAATCGACATTTAATTCTGGTAATTAAATTGTGCTATTGTAGAACATTATTGGATGCATGCGATATCATTGTGTGTAACAAAAAAAATAATAATAAAATAAAATAGAGAAAGGTACAGAAATCAAATAACAAGATGTATAGAAATATGAATTGATAACAGATGTGATGAAAACGCCTCTGTTGTCTTATTTTGATTATATCTTAAAACATTATAAATAAAATCGCACACTATGAAGTATAAATTAGTTTTAAAACATTATAAAAATATCTTTGTTCTATGAAGTGGACATTAGTTTTAAAACTAAATAAATACAATCTTACACTATAAAGTAGACATTAGTTTTATAACATTATAAATAAAATCTTACATTATGAAGTAGACATTAGTTTTGTAACATTATAAATAAAATCTTACATTATGAAGTAGACATTAGTATTATAACATTATAAATAAAATCGTACACTATAAAGTAGACATTAGTTTTATAACATTATAAATAAAATTTTACATTATGAAGTAGACATTAGTTTTATAACATTATAAATAAAATCTTACATTATGAAGTAGACATTAGTTTTATAACATTATAAATAAAATCTTACATTATGAAGTAGACATTAGTTTTATAACATTATAAATAAAATCTTACATTATGAAGTAGACATTAGTTTTATAACATAAATAAAATCTTACATTATGAAGTAGACATTAGTTTTATAACATTATAAATAAAATCTTATATTATGAAGTAGACATTAGTTTTATAACATTATAAATAAAATCTTACATTATGAAGGAGACATTAGTTTTATAACATTATAAATAAAATCTTACATTATGAAGTAGACATTAGTTTTATAACATTATAAATAAAATCTTACATTATGAAGTAGACATTAGTCCATGCTCGGATTGGCATTATCGAGGTCAGCGTTTGACTGGGCCCGGTCACACTGACCACATAGGCTGGTTTTTTGCTGATTAGTTTACCAAAATTTCTATACGAATCGTTCAACTAGAAATATAAAAATAATAACCAGAGGTTAACGGTTATAATACAAGCTTTATTTATGCAATAGGCCTATTATGTAATAAAATGAAATGATTTAGGGAAATATATTAGGAGTCCACTTTCAAAACCTGCTAAGTCACTTTTGGTTGATTTCGAAGAAATTGACTTTTTAAGTTCTGTTTTGGTTAACTATTCTTAGGACTTTTGATATTTTACTGTTATATAATTTATTTTAATGTATACCTTTGTGAACAAAAGTTAGTATGCTACTTTAATTGCCACTTAATTGATAAGGTTTTAGGAGTAACTTATTTTCTTCAAAAAGTGTACTTAGCAGGTTTTGCAAGCAAGTATAGTACTTTACGGTCAGGAGCCCCAAGTCCTACCCCACCAGCCCTCTCCCCTCCCCCCCGCGACTACTTTACCATTTAGATTCCGTTCACTGGGTTTCCAAAAAAGGTGACAGTGGGTACTACTTGAATTATTGGTCATTCTTCGCGTTTTTTATGACACGGGCTCCCCAAAGGTAACTACGACGCCTACATTTGTTTTAAAAAGCTGCCTTCATAAGTCTTTTGGTGAGGTACTATAGGCGATGAAGTAATCAAACCAAAGACGTTCACCAACGCCCCTATAGATTTATAATTTTGAACGCTCCAATTACAACAGAGGCTATTTTAGCAGTCGGGGTCCGTTGATCGGGCGTCCATCACAATAGGTTAGGGTTAATACTTTAATTATCATTCGAATTGCACCACGGGCGGCACCCAGAGGCGTAGCTACGTTAGGGTGGATGGGGCGGGCTCCCGGGGCGCCAACTTTAAACGGGCTTCAAACGGGATAGAAAAAAAGTTATAAAGCTCATTCCGAGATGCATTACTGAATTATACACTGTCAAAGTTTAAAAAAAAAGACTGTTACAAAGCTTTACAGACTTATTTAACTGTTTTCTTTATCAATTGTGTGACACACAAACAAAAAAATGTACAGGATAGTAGTAACTGTTAAAAAGCGTGGAAGGGGGGGGGGGGGGTGGGGCGCGCTATTTCGGCAACTTGGATCACTATATATAAAGAAGGGAGAGGGGCGAAAAATGGATAATTCGCCCTGGATGCCAAAATAGGTCGCTACACTTCTGACGGCCTTCAGCGGTGCCCATTGAAGGATATACGGTAAGGTGCCCTGAGTTACCCGGCGGCTGTCGTTCCACCTGGGGCTCGTTCATTAGGCGTCTCACACCGGTGGTTGGAATACTAATTGAATAATTTATTAAACTGCACAAAGAGCGTCCGCCGGCGCATTAGTTTTCTTTCAAACGACCCAGACCGTCCTATGCCCCCTGTGATCACTATAGCACCTACATTCGCTTCAAAGTGCGCCATACACTAGGATTCGCTGAAATACAAAATTGAATGACTAAATCGATGCCCTTGTAGAAATGTAACCGGTGGCTCCCAATAGCGACCACGAAGCCCCTGACGCGCTGGCGGTCTCCGATGTGTGATCTACCTCACTATTTCTAAGTAAGATGACCGTACACTCCGGGTTTTCTTATAACACGCCATTTGAAGCCTGGGTTGACGCGCTGACGGTCTCCGATGTGTGATATACCTACCTCACCATTTCTAAGTAAGATAACCGTATACTCGGGGTTTTCTTATAACACACCCTTTGACGTCTGGGTTGTAGTGCTGACATACCCCAGTTAAGATCATATAAATATTGTTCCGCAATGTTTACATTTTAGAGCTGTTTGTTCTAATTAATAGCCCTCACGTCTATATATACACGATTAGAAACGCGTTGATCAAACCTCATTAAATATTTCATCCAATTTGTAGCTCGGCTACTACTTATATAGAAATTAGGACGATAAAATAGGTAAACAAACTAATTTTTCTAGACATTTCAATTTCTTTTCATGTAATATGAATGGTTTTGTTATATAATGCGACGAAAACACGTATTTTACGCACTCTTATTTGAGACTGCTTGAACACCTCATGAAAAGTCATTTTCAGCGATGGCAGGTAAACCGTTGTGTTAGCTTGTGTTGTTGTTATAAGGAACTCAGTTGTACTATCGTACATATCGTATTTTAAATAGTACCAATGCAATCCATTAAACATCGGAGAAAGCTGTTCTGTCAAATAGAATAGCCACAATATATATATATATATATATATATATATATATATATATATATATATATATATATATATATATATATACATATATATATATAGGTGACAGGACAAATGATCTCAGGACAAATGATCTCAGACAAAATATCTCAGACAAAATATCTCACGGACAAATGATCTCAGGACAAATGATCTCAGGACAAATGATCTCAAGAACAAATGATCTCACGGACAAAATATACCAGGACAAAATATATCAGGACAAATGGTACCACGGACAATTGATCTCAGACAAAATATCTCAGACAAAATATCTCACACCTAAATTTTAATAGTGTAGTTGATGATTTTAGTTGATCTGAATTTTTTTTCATTGATTGTCATATGGTTTTGTTTATTATGTTTTAAATAAGTTTATAGGCCTATATAATAATCGTAAGAAATGTTTGCCGTATACATTTTTCATATTGCACTAATCATTTTAAAGTTAGTATTAGTAATATAGTATACGAAGATTAAAGATTGTTTTTGATAGACAACGTAGGTGGGCTTGCCAAACATGAGACAATCCTACCACGTCAGGTGGACGAAACTAGATAAAAGGAATGAAATAACAATAAAGACACACCTTCGTATCAAGGTGGCCGCCTGTTTTGATGGCAGAGACATGCCTTAGGGAAAGACATTCGCTCTCCATGGACAATACAAGTAGCGTCAACAGTCAATAGTTGGTCACACCTTAGTGATCAGGTAACAAATGCTTATTTAAACAAACAGCGGTCATCGCGGAGCTAAGTTTGTTGTAATGTGCATCAAACAAAGCAGTATTAGTGGTGATTACTCAGTTATGGCCTCTTTTGTTACCTCGCAGAAAGGTTTTAGGACATTAGTTTCTGGTGAATTTATGTTTGCCATAAGCAGGCCAAGAGATTTGGAAATGTGAAATTAGGACATGTCGAGCAAGAGTTCACACAATAGATGATCACATAGTATATAAGAGGTGTGATCATATTGACGTACCTGCCAGCAATGAAACGTAAACGTTATGTTTGTGTTGATGATGCAATAAAAAACAATAGTTTAACGTTATGATGCTGAAGACCCATTCACATTTTTGAAAAATATTTCGCATGTTATGAACATTAATGTTGTATAAAAACCATTACTTTATTTGTTTTATACGTTATCATTTATTACAACTTTCAGGCTTATGGAGTAAGTTTGCTATAATTTTTACTTTTTCGAATAAAATGCTACGACAAAGTTTAATAAATCTTTTGATGGTTTGTTAGGTTTAACAAATTCATTTTATTCACAATTATAATACATAAAAAAATAAACAAACCCATATTAACAGTCAATTAAAAAAAGTTCAAATCAACTAAAATTATCGTACATTCAATTAACATTTCTCTGTGAGATATTTTGTCTGAGATATTTTGTCTGAGATCATTTGTCCATGATATCATTTGTCCTGATATATTTTGTCCTGGTATCTTTTGTCCTTGAGATCATTTGTCCTTGAGATCATTTGTCCTGAGATCATTTGTCCGTGAGATTTTTTGTCTGAGATATTTTGTCTGAGATCATTTGTCCTGAAATCATTTGTCATGGAACCATATATGTATATATATATATATATATATATGATTCCATGACAAATGATCTCAGGACAAATGATCTCAGACAAAATATCTCACGAACAAATGATCTCAGGACAAGTGATTTCAGGTAAATGATCTCAAGGACAAAAGATATCACGGACAAAATATACCAGGACAATATATATCAGGACAAATGATATCATGGACAAATGATCTCATACAAAATATCTCACAGCAAAATTTTTGATAGTGTATTGGATGATTTTAGTTTATCTGAACATTTTGTATTGTCTGTCATATAGTATACTTTACTAAATTTAATATTTTTTATAGGCCTATATAATAATTTTAAAGAATCTTTGCCGCATAAATTTGTCATATTTCACTGAATAATTTAAAATTAAGATTTCTAATAAAGTATGTGAAGATTAAATGCATTTTTCGATAGACAGCGTAGACCAAGAGAAAAGAAGACAGTCATTTTTAGTTTACACCATCTAATGAATAATTTTCTAAACTACCTGATCCAAACGCCAAGGTTTTAGATTTTACACATCCCATCAGCATGACCAGAAAAGGTTTTGTTGCATGTATGTGCACTCCTGAGTTGAGACAAAAAAAATTCAATTGTTCATACTTATTTTCTTATAAAAGTAGATAAGGTTAATTTGAATATCCTCGGATTAACACGGCGTAACCCGTCTGATTATTTTATACTCATATCTATAAAAAATATTCTATTATTAACTATAAAATTTACACATACATATGTGAATTGTTGGTGGACATATGGTAAAAAAATTGATTCGTATAATTTAACTCGGACACATTTCGCTAAAGCAGACCATTGCACAACACAAACACAATCTTCTCCGCATCAAACTACATTACAATTCACACTCACGCAAACACATGTATCAGAAACACCACAGAAGAAAGAACGAATTTTTGTGTGGGCCCACATGTATTCGCTTGTAAGTCATTATTGTTTACAACTAAAATTAAGTACATTCATAATTTTTAAATAAAACACTATACCTAATGATTGAGATTTGTATAAAGAAAAAATAATTATGAAAGAAAAATAAAAAGAGGTGGGGAGAGAGAAAATAGATAAAATAAAACAAGACAAAAAAAGAAAGAAAAACTGAAAGAAAGAATACAGCAAATAAATAAATAAATAAACGAATGAATGAATGAATGAATGAATGAATGAATGAATGAATGAATGAATGAACGAACGAACGAACGAACGAACGAACGAACGAACGAACGAACGAACGAACGAACGAACGAACGAACGAACGAACGAACGAACGAACGAACGAACGAACGAACGAACGAACGAACGAACGAACGAACGAACGAACGAACGAACGAACGAACGAACGAACGAACGAACGAACGAACGAACGAACGAACGAACGAACGAACGAACGAACGAACGAACGAACGAACGAACGAACGAACGAACGAACGAACGAACGAACGAACGAACGAACGAACGAACGAACGAACGAACGAACGAACGAACGAACGAACGAACGAACGAACGAACGAACGAACGAACGAACGAACGAACGAACGAACGAACGAACGAACGAACGAACGAACGAACGAACGAACGAACGAACGAACGAACGAACGAACGAACGAACGAACGAACGAACGAACGAACGAACGAACGAACGAACGAACGAACGAACGAACGAACGAACGAACGAACGAACGAACGAACGAACGAACGAACGAACGAACGAACGAACGAACGAACGAACGAACGAACGAACGAACGAACGAACGAACGAACGAACGAACGAACGAACGAACGAACGAACGAACGAACGAACGAACGAACGAACGAACGAACGAACGAACGAACGAACGAACGAACGAACGAATGAACGAATGAATGAATGAATGAATGAATGAATGAATGAATGAATGAATGAATGAATGAATGAATGAATCAATGAATCAATGAATCAATGAATGAGTGAATGAATGAATGAATGAATGAATGAATGAATGAATGAATGAATGAATGAATGAATGAATGAATGAATGAATGAATGAATGAATGAATGAATGAATGAATGAATGAATGAATGAATGAATGAATGAATGAATGAATGAATGAATGAATGAATGAATGAATGAATGAATGAATGAATGAATGAATGAATGAATGAATGAATGAATGAATGAATGAATGAATGAATGAATGAATGAATGAATGAATGAATGAATGAATGAATGAATGAATGAATGAATGAATGAATGAATGAATGAATGAATGAATGAATGAATGAATGAATGAGTGAATGCATGAATGAATGAATGAATGAATGAAAAACAGAAAGATGGAAGGAAAGTAAAAATGAATGAATTAAAAAACATAAAGCTAGAAAGAAAGAATGAATAAAAGAAAGAAAAAGAAAGAAAGAAAAAAGAAAAATAAAAAGTAAGAAAAAACAAAGTAACTTAACATAAATTTAACCTCTTATTTTCAGAAGTGTTACATCAAAATATATTTTATTGCTAGCGGAAGGTTTTTAAGTATGAAAAGCCAAACATTCTAATGCTTAAGCTCAAAATATTTCTAATGTTATTAAATTACCTCCTGATAGGGAACTCTTCTGGTTTTCTGGTTTTACTGAAATGAGCTTTGGGTGCATTCTAAAACAACGGTAATTATTCATAACACTTAACATAATATATATATATATATATATATATATATATATATATATATATATATATATATATATATATATATATATATATACATATATATATATACATATATATATATATATATATATATATATATATATATATATATATATATATATATATATATATATATATATATATATATATATATATATATATATATATATATACATACATATATATATATATATATATATATATATATATATATATATATATATATATATATATATATATATATATATATATATATATATATATATATATATATATGTATATATATGTATATATATATATATAAATATATAAATGTATATATATTAATATATATGTATATAGTATTGTGTTTAAATTCATCTCTGAAAATGCGCAACTGTGTCTCACTCCCACACGTAAAGCCCTGAATAAATACTATCAACTGAGTATAACTTTGTATTTACCTGATCAGTTCAAACAACTTCCGTTCATATGTTTTAGTTTTTTCGTTGAAAATGTTAACTTGAACTGTCATGTCGTATGTTGATAGTATTTCAACTACCCAATGCGATCTAAATCCGCATATTAGAATATATATATATATATATATATATATATATATATATATATATATATATATATATATATATATATATATTTATAAAGTATATATATAAAA